TAGTTTTTTCACGTAGTCTTATTTGTTAGGTACTATACATACACAATTGTTTGACCAAACAAAACTGTTTGGACATTTGACACGAGGTTCATTATAGGTTGTACCTATAGGTCAAAAAAAAAAAAAGTAGAGTATAACGTATGCATTTTTTTTATAATGGTTTCAATTTATATTAGTGTTATGTACAACGAAGTTCTAAGGAATATATTAAAGTTCCTGTTATTATTTTTTCTTACATGTTTTTATTAGTTTGTATGTAAACATATAAAAATGTATTATGTACAATTGATACAAATAAAATAAAACTAATGTTACTATTATAGTCATATTGTTATTTCGTATAATATTTATTAATATATTTTGAATCTGTATTACAGTTAATGACTAATACAACCTTCTTAAACTAACATTTTTTTGTTATATACTTAGTATATTATCTAAATAACTGAAAATTATCGTTTCTAGTACCTAATTATTATTTTTGTTACTTTAAGAAAGGAGTGTCAGTTTTCGAGTAGGGCGAAAAAAAATCTTTTTGTTTGAAAAATTATAGAATTATCTTATCCTTAATGATTTGCTGTTCGAGACAACACTGCATTATGGAACGCTCTAAATAAAATAGGGATCACAATGTCTTTGGCTATTTTGTGACACTTTAAGCCTACATTGGTAGGTCATTTGGTCAATGATAACATATCTAACAAGACAAATTACTTTTGTTTTTTGAGAAACTATTCGAGAGTATACTGCGTTTATACAATATGATCCATTTAAGTGGATACACTGATTATCTTGGAAAGTATTAACTTTTTTCGACATTTGTTTTATTAAACATTTAAGAAACAAGCAGCTTTACAATTTTTCGTATTATTTTTTGTTACCATTATTTTTGGGGGTAAAGCTAGTTAAATTTTACCAATTTGTATTATCTACTATTGATTTTAAAATGGCAATCTACATCAAAAAATTCCATAGTTAATATTTTTCGAGATAATCAGTGAAATTGAATCGCTTGTATATCCGTGATTTTTCAACTAAATGTCGAGAAGTTTATAACATATATATGTGTAGAATGATATGAAAAGAGAATATTTCCATAGAAATTATTACCGAGAGAATATTCTTAGTACTATTGGGGAATATTAAAGTCATTTCGAATAGTAGATTAATGTCCAAGATATGTACCTAAGTATATGTGATACGTTGCACTTCATATGCGTCACGGCTTTGACTACAATCACCTGGATGGACCGGACGGACGGGTGATTTGGATATTTCGGCGTTTAACATAATCGTGTCGTACCCGTGAAAAATCGTATGAATACGCGCGTGTGATCGTTTGCAGTATGGGTATGATACTATAATAGTGAATCCCATAACCTCGGGGAAAAAAACGCAATATAATATGTTTCATTTTAGAAAAATATTATAAATCGATAGAAAACCGACGAAAAAGAAAATGATTAAAAATTCTCTAATTATTCGGAGAATATTCTTTAAAAAGATTATTACGGCAATTGGACATCACTATATACGTACAATGCAGAACAACCTGTATGGCGTTTTCGGAAAACGCATCGTAAAACGGCATGGTGCACACGATGACTACGACCACGTCAAAATTGACAGACAAGCGCATCGTGAAAAAAAAAATACCGAAAAATAATAACAATAATAAAAACTACGACCACGCGTTACCAAAACCGTGTGGTACGGTGGCGTTTTAAATAATAATAAACATTGTCAATACGTAACATAATATTATTGAATTATTGTTGTGTATATTTTACAGTGTCGTCGAAACGCGGTTTTGTTATTTTTTTTTTTTTGTTTCCATGTAAACTCTTTCCCGCATAACATAATATTATACGTATGCGCGTTATTCAATGTACGTATACCGTATGGCGTATACGTATATTATTCGGACGGAAACGTAGTTGAATAACGCAAACGACATTATCGTAACCGCGAGCCGAGGCCGGTTCGTACATAATATATACCAAAACAAAAAAAAACAAAAAACAACCGACAAAAAAATTGGAAGAGAATTGTTTTCGCCCCAGTATTTCGGGCCGAACAATATTCTAACCGAGAATATAACAACCGAACTTAAAAAAAACAACAAACGAATGTGTGATAATGATCGGTTACTGTCGTTGACAATAATATGAGAATGTCTTTTATAATCGTTACCACAGTAAGTAAGTTTCCGAATAATACGGCGGAGACGGACAATGGCCGTCAGGTTTCGTTTTGTCGGAAATATTAAAGTTGACGTTATCGCGTTCATTGAAATTCACGTTCAAGAATTTCTGAAGTTTTCTAATTCCACATTTTCTAGATTTTTAAAATTTTATAATACATGGCCAGTTTTTCAAAATGACGATACAAGTCGATAAACAGTTAGAGTTTCCGCTAAAATACAATCAATTGTAATATTGTGGGCTGAAACATTGTCGACTTTTCTGTAGGCACCCGGGAAAAACGAACCGTTAGAACAAACCAGCTGTACTGCATTAGATCTGCTAGCATCCCTTTAAAATGATCCGTTTTGCGATTAGTGGCTAAAAATAAGAGTACGACCAGTCGAATGAATCAATATTATTGTACGCCGGATCTGCAAAATCGATTCGGATCTTTATCGCGATCCGAGTAAATTGCACGGGTCGGTCGACACATCCCTACGGCAAACGAAAATACGACGCCATTTTCAGGTATAAATATAATATAATATAATATAGGTATTGTATTCTGTTTTAGAAAAGCGACCGTCCGCTTCTTCCCCTTCCCCCTCCTTGGGTTCGCATAATGTTATACCATCCGCCGCGACGAGGGAGTCGGCCGACAGTTTTTCTCCCCCATCCACCTCCCCACCAATAAAAGTCACTCGCTCTCCTCGTCTCTCCGTAATATTATTCTCTCGGGACCCTCTTGGAAAAACATCAATTCCCCCTTGGTGCAGTATGTATACAATAATACACGTGCCTATACTACGGCCCGGCGGCTGCGTACGAACGCAATCAATTTTCTTATAGTGTTTATCCCGGGCCTCTGAAAGTTTCTTTTAAAAAGAAATAAGTTCACGGTCGCGTTCATCTGTTTGAAAGGAAACTGATCTCGGGTTCGTTTCCGGAACGAAGACCAAAGTCCTTTTCCTCTTTCTTGACAAATTAACGTTTTTCGTTTCTCGGATACAAATAAAAACCATTAATTCGTATGCTTACCTATAATTAAATTACTTAGAACCTGTTGTAGGTGAGAAGTTGGGATGGTAGGGTATAGAGGGAAATTTAATATTTATCTATACACAACGATTAATCTTTACTGACGAAAAACGATTATGGGCGGAGTTTGGTTATGTATCCCGCACAGCATACATATATTTATTTTATGTAAAATAGATATTTGAAAAATAATATTGATGATGTTGATTAATAAATATTTTATTTGTATTGATTTTACATTTTAAAATATTTGACCAATATTTAATTAACTATTTGAATCATTTGAAGTTTTCCTATAAATATTTCTTAACAAATAATTAATTCTTATTGATGACTAATGTCCATTAAAAATTACAAATTATATAATTAATAGTAGTAAAAAATGAACAAAATTAAATCAAATATGAATATTAGGTGCAGTGTATCCTGCAGTAGCACTCAGTTTTGGGGGGTAAAATAAGGGTAGCACTACCTCGTCTGTAATTTTTTATATATGTATACTATAGGTACTTGAAAATTAAATACTTCTATTTATCAATTTAAAAAAAATTTTAATTTAGCACGAAACAAAAATTTGATATCCCATTGTAGTAACCACGCTGCCACTATAATGGAATAGAGGTGACAGCCGCCTAATTGTATTCCAATATAATAATATATATATAATAAAAAATTTAATACTAAAATATTTATAAGAGATTATTAAATATTTATATTAGAAACATTTGAAATTAAATATTTTTTAAACTATCGTTTTTAATATTTAAGTTGAAATATTTATTCAATCGTTAAAATTGCAAAATGCTGTGTGGGATATTTTAAATGACCATAATATTTACGATTTTAAAATAATACATTTCGTACATTTTCCCGTTTTTCCTACGTTTTTTCTCGGTTTTTCCATTTATTATGAAAACCCCTGGGAAAATCAAAAAATGATCTCCTTAAAATACCACCCCAGTTAGATTTCCTTTCAGAAAAAGTGCTATAATTGAAAATCGGAGCAAAAGTGCTGGAAGAAAAGTGTTTCGTAGATAAAAAAAAAAAAAAAATAATAAAACAATTAACATCATTGTAAAACCAATACGTTCCTCGTTCCGCTCAAAATCTAAAAAAAATGAACGAATTTCCAATACGTTCTTTCATAGATCCGTTCTGAATAAATTTCTGAAAAGCGAATGGAATCCAAGGAACGATTTCCTTTAAATCCTTTTAAATCACTGCCTTATCTCTCGTTCGGCATTGTGAAAACAGTCTTTACATATATTACAACCGACGGGTTGTCGTTTTTAATCTTCGTCCTATGTACACTATGACCACCTTCTTCTTCCCCCCTCTCGCTCTCCTTTTTCCCCCACCCAACTATTTGTGATCGGTTGCCTTTCGGCGTTCCGAACTCTTAAATCCGCGCCTTGCACGGTTCTCTATGGCTCTGTATATCAAATCGTGCGTTAGATCATTTCCTTTTCGGTCCTTTGTTTTCTATTCCTCCCGCCCGTCAATCGTGAATTTATAAAACTGCTCTTACGACTTCCGATTCGGCTTTGTTACCGGCACGCCTTGTCCGGACTACCTTTAGCCCCTGTCTTATCAACTGTCCTAACAATGTGCAGTACACGCTACAGGATATAGACCCATTACAAATTCCTTGTTCTTCAGCCTCCTCACACGCGTGCGATATAATAATATTTTTATTGTCAAGTGTTGTACCTATACTTCTATTGTACACGAGAACACGAGAACACGAGAACCATACGCGTTTCGGCTATATTATAGTTAGTACATATTTTGGCCACCGCCACCGTGTTCGCGCGCCATTGTTAAAACATTTCGTTGTACCGCACCACCGCGACCGCGCCGCCGCCGTGCCCGTCGGTCCCGGGGTGGCGGTCGTCGCCGCCGGGAGAGGTGCAACGACGGGGCGGGGGCGGCGGCGGGGTCCGCCAAACCAAAACGTTTCGGGCCAACGACCGCGGTCGCGCCAGAGCACGTGTGCGCCCGCGAACACCCCTTTGCCGCCCGTGCACCACGGAATGACGCGATCCGACGAAACGACCGTCCGGCTCCTCCGCCGCCGAATCCGAGTGCGCTGCGGCGGCGGCCGCCTCGTCGCATCGTCCCCGTCAACGACCGCGGCGCGTCATTCAAGATAACTTTGGTGGCATGGCGGCGGCGGCGGCGGCGTTTGCGATTACCACGACGACGACGACGACGACGATGACGACGCCGCCGCCGACCGACGACCGACACGGTCGGCCGACCGGACGGTCCGGACGCGCGGCGCGCGTGTCTGCCGTTTCGCCGTGTGGGCGTACCCGCGGATACGACGGACGGGGTGCAGTCCACACACGAGAGGCCTTTCCGTGGAAGACGCTAATCGCCGTCGTCGTCGGCGTCCGCATTCGTATGATATTATTATACGCGCACGCTCGTGTGTTTTTATTAGTATATTACGTACGGACACGTGCGTGCAGTTTTCGGCACGGACGCCGAATTCCGGTGTACAGAAAAAAAAAAAAAAAAAAAAAAAAAAAAAAACGACGTCCATTGTAATAGCGCGCATACGCATGTTACGTTTATTATTATTGCTATCGTTGTGCGGCCTACGCGGTAACGCAATATTTTTACGACGGCGTTTGGGTCGTCGCGCAAGCGAGCTGGCACCTAATCTCTGCGACGCGTTCCGTATCAGCCAGAGTACATTGTGCTATCGGTCGCGGTCTCCTTTCTATGTCGACCGGAAAAAAAAAACAATTGGGGCGGGGGGAAGAGTCGATACTGTGGTCGGTGGGAAACCGAAAAAGCAGGAAGGATACGGATAAATTACCGAGGGGGGGGGGGGCAAACATAGGGAAAAACATGGGGAAAGACGGGATCAGTCATGTTAAACAAATAATCGTCAAAGAAAATGTGTAACGCATGGGCGGCATGTCGGTATTTATTTTACCATAATGTAACATATATATATATTGTTGACAAAGCAACACTACCGAATTGCGTTCAGAATCGTTTTTACCGTTACCGACGATTAATCGTCGCGTACAGATATACATTAAATTTTCCCCTCCACCCACTGCCTTCCGGACTTCTCGATTACAACAATGACCCGCCCACGTGCGAAGTCTATTTTAAAACTATAAATACTTATTGTCGTGTAAAAAAAAAAAAAAAACTGATAATGGTAATGTGTGACAAACCGTTGCTAACGAATAACGATTAGGAGCGGAGTTTGTACGACTTTATAATATTGACGATATTGTCAAAATTTGATATTATTATTCTCTTATAAAAAAAATAAAAACCAAATTACACTTAACTTATTCTTTTTTGACCGCCAAGTACGACTTATAATACATTTCCTGTTAAATCTCGAAGTGTTTCTGTTTGGTCAAACAAATTTGTCGAAGAATATACACCGAATAAAAACTACCTACGTAAAAAAAAAACTCGCATACATAAATGCCTTTAAATAGTTCGAAATCTGCTCAAACGTTTTCACTACTTAGAAAAGACAAATATACGTTGTCTGTATAAATTTCAAGTCTCTTAAGAAATATTTTTAGTTGAATTACAACAAAAAACAAAATTAAAAATAATAAAATCATTATTTTCGTACATTTCCCCGTTCTTTTCCCCTTTTTTTTCGGTTTTGTTTGATTATAAAAAAAAAACTATAGGAAAATTCAAAGCGCGACTATTTTACTCTCCAACTAGAAACTTAAAAATACAACAAAACAGATTTCTGTTTTTTTTTTTTTTATTGTGACAATATTTCCGGTAGAAAATATCGTGTATAAAAATTTAAAATAACGTTACGATTTGTATCGCCTTAAATTTATCAGTTTTCATTTTTCGTCTTTCTCCTGTTTTTTCCAATTATTATGAAAACTAATTGGTTAATCGAAAAAATGACTTACTTTATGAGCAGCTAGTTCTCAAATGCAATAAAAAAAGGTCTTTAGTAGGGCTTACGGGTTTTATGTGTACCTAAACACACGTGTACACGTGCAATTATGAAACCCGCGTATCGATCCGTGTATTTAAAAATGCACTTATGTTTAATGATAGTCATGTGCAATATGTATGTTCGAGTACTTTTTGTACACCAATATCTAGTTTAAAAAAATAAGCGCTGGACACTGGGGGCGGGTGGGCCACTGTTGTACGTATTATTAAATACACGGATTTGTACACGTGTATTTAAATACCCGTCTACTTGTGTACCCGTGTGTATTTTAAATACCATCGGGAGAGTAGGAAATCGCAAGCCCTAGTCTTTAGGCATTTATTTTACTAAAACAACATTAACATAATAATTCTCGAAAATAAAAAACAATGAACGGCGCGGCGTAAATATTTGCCGTTTTACCTATGATTTCGTTTCCGGTTTTTCCTATTATTTTGAAAACCCTTAGGAAAATTGAAAAAAAAAAATACCGTTCGAATGCACCGATACTAGACACAATTTCCTTTCTTTTCGAAAAGTTGTTTACAGACGAAAAGAAACACACACACAGTGAAACCAATAGATGTTTCGCTCCGCTCTGAATATAAAACAAACCAATAAACGCCGATGGCGTACAATATTCTGGTACGCGACCACTGATCGGATATACTTATCGTATGGTCGCCAGCTGTACTATAGCAAAACTCGTTAGATACTCAAAACACCGAATGATAATAATTTCGTCGAATTTTCGGTTGAAACGCGTTCGCGGGTGTCTAAATCGTATGAACGACTCGTTGTGGCAGCAAGAAAAGTCATGCACTCTCTTTGAAATCGGTCAGGCGAAGGAAAAAAACATCATCTATCTGTGAGACTCGTCTTCGTTTTTCCCGGGATTCGGTAAAATCACCAAACAAGCCCTTATCGTAATATTCTGTGTATACCAAGTAGACGGACTTGCGGTGTTGGTGCGCCGAATTATGCGGCGTTTTACGCTTTTCACAGAACTATCAAAAAAGCCCTTCGGATTTGCCTTGTGCTGTATCGAGCCCTTCAATTCCGATATTTTTACGTTTACGTTTATGCAGAACACGTGTTCGGGTACATTTAGGTGTGTCTAGACCTCACTGACGGTGGGAGTGAGTTATAAACTCAATTGATCGAAAAACTGTTACACATTGACTGTATATAATTATTTTACATTTCTATGCAAGCGTGATTATTATTGACAACATATTAAAATTTCGAAAAAAAAAAAATAATCTGTATGGTATAAATATCGGTACGTCATCAAAGATGATTAAAAAGTTAATTTTAATAATTTATAAACTATCTAATATTTCCGTTTTTTACACGCAACAGTATAATTTTCAGGGGACAGCCGCCCACCTTTGATCCCTCTCCCTTCTGTAAACGTGTATGGGTACATAAATAAAACACCATAATCACGACAATTATAATTATATTGTATTACAATCTTAACTATATCGTTTCAGATTCCTGTAGCCTACCCGACGTGTTGGTCTTTCCGTTTGTTCCCGTGCTTTATCACAAACCTGTTGTGGTTTTCATCGATTACAGGTTTCAGATTTACACTCGGGACACTGACTTCCTTGCGACAATGTCATGTTCGAACCAACAGGTGGATTAGGTTTCGTATATACTAACGAGGCATTGTTCGAGTAATGTGGTGTACCTACCCAAACCATTGTATTCACATTTAAACCTTGCAAACGTGTTGATTTTCACAATATATGGTGTACCTAAACGTGTTGAATTTTCAGCCGGATTTATTTCCATAGGCTGTTTTTCAATATTACTAATGAAAAATAAAATAAACCGGGTCTCCCGGAAGTCGCACTAATAGCGGTTCCGTACTGTGGAAAACTTTAAAAAGTTTATTGTAAGCCATTTTAATACCAATCGGAAATTATTGCGACTTACCGACCTCTAAAATATTATCTATAAAATACATTGAAAACTCTTTATAAAGGGAAAAATCAATAAAAGTTTGTTTTATAACCCATACATATAATATTAAGTTCGTTCACTACAACGAATTGATCTCTCTCAATCACGAAACAATATTTCACATTTAGTAGTATAGCGGAACTTCGTTTAACCGCCATTCAAAAATAAATATTTATCAGATATTTATCGTTATTCAAAATTTCCGTGATGCTAAAAATAGAATTCGATAATTTGGCACACTCATAAAAAAATAACGGAATATTTGGGAAAAAAAATCTTGATTTGATTGTAAACAATCACATTGTATTTTTAAAAAATTAAATAATATACATTACAGTATACCATAATCAAATATATACATATACACAATATATAAAAAAAATGTACAAAAGTTGAAAATCAATTATTTTCGTTTCGTTTACACAATAAAAACAAATATTACAAAATGTTTCCATACATCCGATTAGTCCGGTGCCTGACGGATAATTAAAGTTCTGCTGTACTAATAATGATACTTAAATAATATTTATCGGTATAATAAAAAGAAGTGCGGAAATTTTTAAGAACGACTGGGTTATTTTACTGTCTAATTTTATCACCGTACTTCATAAAATTATCAAAATACTAACAATCTAACAATGTCGAATCGTCAAGCATTCAACAAGCACTTGATGCGGCAACATTTATAGAAAAATATTTATTGTTTCACGAAAATGATCCCAGCTTATCCCGGGATATGGACAAAACTAATAGAAAAATACAGGAAGTTTTTTTGGCGAGCGAACGAGTGCAAACAAAGGTGCCAGTATATAATGCATTCGTGTATGTTTTCCGGTAAATTCGTTCATGGCGTGCGTAAACATTGCTTACGAGATTTCATTCTATTGTAAATAACAACTACATATTCGTTTAGATTTTTAGTGAGTGCGGATTTCAAGTCGATATCTTGCATTGCGTTTAAAATTCGGAACTCGTCAAAGTAGTGGCGTATTCAGGGTTTGCCCAATGAGGACGATGTCGAATTTGGAAATTGTGTCGTGTAACCAAACTGAACATTTGAAAAACATTTTTAAAAAAATCAAGTTTTAATTTTTATATTTTTGTAAATAATTTTCGTTTCAATCTACATTTAAATAATCATTGAAATGAAATAGCTAGTTTTAATAAGTAATTTACTATTTAAGTACTAATCATATAG